AGGGCACATTGCCTGAACCAGTACACACCGAGAGTTGGCGCCGTCCGTGGGGAGGATGCCGTACGTTCATGCTTTTGGTCATCGGATGGCCCACCTTTCCGCCATCTTCGGCATGGCGGGCTCAAGCAATATGACTCGCTTTGGCTCGCTAGAGTTTCCCACGCTCCCACCTATTGGGATGTGGGTTCCTCCTATCTTCGATGCATCCCAGACCTTCCTCTTTGGAAGCCTAGACTTCGTCACCGACTAGCTCGGCGTGCTTCGCTTTGCGAGAAGGCACTTGTCCCTGGTGCCCATCGGAGGAGAAGCGCCCTTCGTTAGCTCTAGGACACCCAGCGACCTCAATGACAAGGCGCCTGCGCTTCGCTCCGAGCCTACGCTGGCCTCAAACCCCACTGTGAGTAACGTACATATTGTTCTTTACTCGCGATTTACTATCTTCAGTCGATTCTCCGGAGGGACCCCATTGTCCCCACCGCAACCGCCATGCAACCGGTTCCCCTACGGCCTCGCGTCCCCCATAGACGCGTCGCGCGCGGGGCAACAAAAGATGCTGACGCTGCCCCCTCTCACATCCGAATTCGTGGGGATGGTGGGCTATGCTCCCGCCTCTTTCCACGACCTCATGGATGATGAGGTTGAGAGCGATGGCTCCAGCATCGGCGACGTCGTGGCACCCCGGGACACCCCGGGACAGCCACCGGTGGTAGCAGAGTCCCTACAGACTCACACCCCTCCGGACCCTCGTGTGGAGGCCCTCGTGCGTGCGTAGGAGCATGGCGAGGAGCTACGACAAAGGCAACAGAGTCCCTAATGATGATTATAAACCCTGTGTCATTGAGTGCTAGGCCACATCCGATCACAACATACGACAAAACGACAAATATTTACTAATTGGTCACTTTTCGCACCAACACCGCTGCTCCTGGCGTCGTCGCCGACTCGTTCGCCATCGTCACCAACCATTATCCACCGCCAATTTCACCGGCAGCGGTGGTCGACTGCTCTGTAGACCACGGAGCGCCTAGGGACTCCGGGACGGAGCCTGCCGGCACGGTCTCCGCGCCTGGACCAGCCCCCGGCTGCTCACCAGTCTGGCCAGGAGGGTTTAGATCCTCCGTGCACCTCGATCTACATCAGATCAGCTCATCAATCACCACAACTAAAAAGATCGGACAGCACACGATTCCAAGGCAATGATACTTACATGGTGGCTTCTTGGTAGGCAGTTTTGAACCGGCGTTGCCTCCTCGAGCACCCAGGAATGGCTATGGGGTCCACCCGTGCCCCTGGGCTGGAGGTCTTGCGGCCCCCGCCGTTGGCCTCTCCTCCGCCTGCTGCTCAGGGAAATCCCGTCCCTCCCTTCAACTGCACCTCCGCGCGTGTGTTGCGCGGTGGCGCCTCCGTGCTCGAAGGAGGAGCTACTAGAGCACCGTTGTCATCCAACCACTCGGACATTGTCGCACTCCGTGTTCGAGTGGTCTAATCGCCGCCAAGCGAGATGCCGCCCGGCTTGTGGGGAGCTGCACCTACCGTTTTCCTCTTCTTCTGGGCTAGCTCATCTATCGCCGCCCTTTTCCCCCGGACCTTCTCCGACACCGGGGGGGACTCTTCGTCCGACCAGCACCTTTGACTTTGGACTCTAACAAGGCGCTGACGGCACCTTCCTCCAGCTGAGTGGTTGGCCGGGCCTCCACTGTCTTCGGCCAATCGCTCCTCGGTACACCCGAGAAGTACACCGCTCGTTCCTACAAATAAATCTTTCAACAAGTGAATCAGTTCACTGTTCGGCACCGGTACAGGATAAAAAGCATCAGGAACAATAGTTGAGATTTTTACTTGAGGAGGGGGGTTCGTGCAGTTGAAGGCTCTCGTCTGCCCTGGCACGCTGAACGGCGTGTTTGGAGCAAATAGTTTAGCCGGTCGGCGTATCACATCCTCCTTCGATAGCCTCTCCGTCCTCTCCCGGGTGCCATCAGTGTCTCCTTTGAAGTCAAAGCCCGTGTCGGCCCTCTTCTTGCAGGGCTGGACGTGGCACACTATGAAGCTCGCCGCCACCAGTACGTCGTTCATCTTCATGCCCTTTATCAGGCCGAGGAGCTCCCTCACCTGATCCATATTACCACTGCTCGGCTTCTCTGACCAGCTCTTCTGGTTCTCCGGAATGTGGTCGACGTCGCATCGGATGGCAGGATGATTCTGCTTCATGTAGAACCACCTGGCGTTCCACCCCTTCAGCAAGGTGTTCAGCGGCACAGTGATGTACTCGCCCACCATCCCGTCGTGGAGTTGCAGATACACGCCGCCGACCACTCTAGAACCACCGCCGCCCTTCTTCTTCAGCCAGAACAGGTGTCCGAAGAGGTTGAAGTAGGGAAGAATTCCGAGAAACGCCTCACATAAGTGGATGAAAATGGAGATGTGCAAGATGGTATTGGGATGCAGATTGCACAGACTCACTCCCCAGAACTCCAACAGATCCCGCAAGAAAGGATGAATAGGAACTCCTAATCCGCACCAGAAGTAATCTTCAAAAACTACAACTCCGTCGGTGTGTGGCATCGGGTAGGGCTCACCGTCGGCCGGACGCCATCCGGCGGTGACTCGCTCAGGGAGAACGCCCACCGCCACCATCTCGTCGAGCTCCGCCTCCCCTATGAGGGACGGTACCCACTCCTGGTCACGACTCGTCCCGACGGCCGCCTTTTTCGGGTTACCAACTCCCCTCTTCAGCGCCATCTCTCAGATCTGGTTTGGGGTTGGCGGCGGAAGCGCGTGTGAATGTGAATCGGGAAGCGCGAGGGCTGAGAAGGAAGATGAAGTGGCGAAGTGGCAAAGGTGAGAGCGCGGAGTGCGGTGGCGCAGTTATAAAGCCCCCTCCCCACTTTTCGCATTCAAGGATTTTTGGGAAACCACTCCACGATTTGCGCCTCCCTGAATTCTCCGAAGCGGCGTGGTAGGCCGTTACCTGGGCTTCCGCGCAACTACGGCCTATATCGTTCATTTTTTGCCGCAACTTGTTACTGCACACCGAATATTCGCCGACTTCTCCGCAATCCATTAATGCTTAGTAACTCCTACTGTACAACCATTACTCCGGTTTTTCTCCACGATTTGATTTCTCCGAGATTTCCACTTGTGGCTCAGGGACTACGTTATTACTACGACTTGGTCCCTCACCATATTGGGGACTTTCTTCTGTTTACTGTTGTTTCTGACCCTGACACCACGTGACCACATCATTTACTGTCAGGCTCGAGGACTAAGTGGGCACACTTCACCTTACGGTAAATGTGCTTTTCTCATTTCAGGGCTCCGCCCAGGGACTGTCTGCCTGCTCGGCTGGTCTTCTGCTTTTATTCTACTTTGGATTCTGGTACCACGTGACTACGTCACCTACTGTCAGGCTCGAGGACTAAGTGGGCACACTTCACCTCGCGGTGAGTGAGTTTGCTTTAATCTGGAAGACTCCGCGCCTCCTGAAGTTGAAGAAATATGTCTCCATTTCTCGTGGTCGGACTCTAAGTGGGCACACTTGGTCCACTACGAGAAAATTTTCGATTTCGAACTTGAGCTCCTTACATCCTTATGACAAGTCTTACTTAGGATACACTGCTCGGCGACGGTTCATAACTACTCGGCAATTCATCACGGTGGTCGGACCATAAGTCTGACTGCTCGGCTTTGTTCACACTTGCTCGGACAAGCTCAAGACAGCATTGCACAGCGGATACAAGACGCTCGGGGACTAGCTGTGGGGGGTACGACCCCGGATACCCACAACAAACTTCATGGGCTGCGCTCCCAGGAGCGGTCCAGCCCACAAGACGAAGCCTTGTGGAGCACGGCGCTGCTCGGCGTGCTCCGTAAGATACCGGGAAGACATCCTGAAGATAATACGAGATCTGTTAGGATACGTTCGATCCCATGATTTCTATAATCTGTTATTATTTTCCGGTTATCTCCTAGATCTAACCAACTTGTAACCCTACCCCTCAGACTATATAAGACGGGCAGGGACTCCCTCCAAACACACGCAATATCATACGAAGGCAATATAATCCAACAGACCACAGGAGTAGAGTATTATGTCACGCTGACGATCCGAACTTGTTTAACTCTTGTGTCTCTGTTGCCTTCTTATTCTTAATTACGTGCACATCTACCGATCAATCTACCTTTATGAGATACCTCTCGAATGACTGCCGACAATATTACGTCGAGGGACGTGGAGCACGGGGAAACAAGAGTGACATGGCTTTGGCATCTATTACGATGCCGTGTAGGCCACCGTCCTACCGAGCTTGCGTAGTACACGTTGTCCCCAACCATCGACGGCGCAGGTAGTTCTCGTGTAACGAAAGCGTGAAATCGACAATGGAAGATAAGATGGGAATCTGGTGCGGTTTTGGAGAAGGTAGAGCGGCTTTCCATCGTCGCAACAAAAGGCGACGTCATGAGCAGGCACTGCTCCTTTGATTACCGACTCCAGAGCAAGGCAATTCTGTCACCTCACCAAGGAAGGAGTGCTCAACAATTTGGCTTCCGAACTCGATTTTCAGAAGCGGAGTCAGATTCGACGCAAGCTAGTCGTGAACTCGTGTCCAAGTTGGGGGCATCCCTCGCAATCGCAAGACAACTCCAGAGTAAGTTCGGTAAAACGAATGCCAAATTGCCAATGCTAACAAATTAAAAATTATTATTATTTAAAGAAAGACGACTGAAAATTATTGGAGTACCAAGTACCAAGTTCCCGAAAACTACGCTGTCTTTCACAGTTCATACGCATAAATTTATTCTTCCACGTATGTCTGGCCAAGTTCCGTCACCCAGACAGTCGTTCAGATCTCGCCATCCCAAAACTCTTCGATGGATTTGAACACGCCTTCGGGATCAACAAAAAAGCCCGCGCGTATCAGCTTCTCCTGCAAATCACACAGCCACGGAGATGAAAAAGGTAAGACATTTGCCGCGCAGGTGCAGCCAGCGGCTGCAGCGTTTCAGGCTTTCAGTTTCCGAGTTTCTGATGCCACTTCACTTGCCTGCTCGATCTCAGAAAACTTGGCGAACAGGTCGTCCGGGATGGACCAGTCGTAGACGTCGATGTTCGCCCTGATCCTCTCCTCGTCGGTGCTCTTCGGGAGCACGCTGTGCCCCATCTGGATGCCCCAGCGCAGCGCCACCTGCGCCGGCGTCTTCCCCAGCTTCTCTGCCGCCGAGACGACCACCGGGTGCTCCAGCACCGCGCCTGCCTTCACCATCATCGTGCCCGGCGACCCCAACGGCGAGTAGGCCTACGCGACACGACACGACAGCCGATCGAGAAGAGAACCTCTGATCACACTACCTACCATAAAACTTTTCAAAAGAACTCTCTGCTGAACTGCACGTACGGAGAGGTGTATCCCGTTGGAGTCGCAGAAGGCGCGGAGCTTGCCCTGCTGCCACACGGGGTGGCATTCAACCTGGTCGACGGCCGGGGGCACGCGCGCCACGGCGAGAAGGTCCGCCAGCTTCTTGCTCGAGAAGTTGCTGACGCCGATGGCGCGCGCCTTGCCGGCGTCGTACAGCTTCTCCATCGCGGCCCACGTCGCGGGGATATCTGACGGAACCACGCTCTGCGGGCCGAAGCCGGCGCCTTTCTTCATTCTCACTGGCCAATGCATCTGACGACCGGCAGCACCATCTTCGGATGGTAAGTTTTATTTTTGTGACAAAAACAATGCACGCATGTTTGGAGTTCCTGCGGACTTACGAGGTAAAGATCCACGTAATCAGTTTGCAGGTCCTTGAGTGTGCCGTCCAGCGCAACCAGGACGTCCTCCGGCGCATGGTTGGTGTTCCTGCACAAATGTTCCAAGAGATTACATGCTATTCAGTGACGCTCCAAGCTTTTTTTTCAGTCAGATATGCCAAGTCGGCAAGTCCTGACTCCTGAATGCTAATGATCAGGTGCCGGAACGAGAGAAAGGACTGACTGACCAAAGCTTGGAGGTGATGAAGAGATCTTCACGCTTGACTATGCCCTCGTCCAGCACTTTCTTGAGACCAAATCCGACCTGCAGTGCAGTGCAGAGCAGCAGCGGGTACCGTACCGGTTAGTTTGGTTTCAAGATTGACCTACCATTCGCTTGCTTGATGAAGAGTCATTGATGCGAGGAGGACACCTCTTTTTCGTTGTTGTATGCTTGAGCACAGTCAATGTGCCTGTAACCTGCCTGCAGCTTATTCAGGGGGGCGGGCGGGAATCAGAAATTGCAACACTCAAGCAACAGTTCAAGGAAAAGGAGAAGTAGTATGCATTAAGTAGACTGAAGCACTGAAATTGGACCTAGATGAACAAAGAAATGACAGATGAACATCCACAAGAAGAGAGGCTGCGCGGCCGGACAGCAGCGTAGTACTATCTGAAACCAAGAACCAGGGGAGCAAAGGATCAACGATGGACTTACCTTCACGGCGGCATACACGGCGTCGCCGACGAGTCCGTTGTCAGCCTGCCAGGTGCCAAGCCCGACCGACGGGATCTTCGCGCCGGTGTTGAGGACGAAGTGGGTGGCCATACGCTCGCTATCCCCGCTGCCGTACCGCGCGCTGCGTACCAACACTTCGGTGCCCTGCCTCCAAAGGCTGGAGCCACAGAATATCTGCCTCGGCACCCGACAGTGGCATATGGAATGCAGTCGCGTCGGACGCTGAGAGAGCGGCCCTACTACACGGCCCAGTGCAGTTATAGGCCGGGCCCGGCAACCAGCGTTGCATTGTCGGTGACGCACTGACGCCGATGCGGCAGCGATCCGTGCGGTGTGGTCCTGACGCCCATGCGGTGGTCCTCACGCGACGCCGCGACGATGAAGTTTGGGGGAATTACTGGTGTGTCATAAAAAAAAAGTTCAGTCTACTGGTGTTTGGGGGGAATTACTCGTGTTTTTAAAAGTTCAGCGATTTTCAACGTCACTGCTCTAACTTTTTTTGTCATTCATGCCACTGCCGTTAGTTTGGGCTCTAACACCGTCAAAGTGTAGGTGTGAAAAATCAAAATACCCTTATATCTAAATATGTCATTAATTTTTTTGAAGCATCTTAACGACTTCAAATGAAAAAATTCAAAACTAAAAGTTGTAGATCTCGTCGAGATCTATAATTTTCATATAAAAAATATTTTCATTTAATTCCGTAAAAAAAATATATGATTTTTCTAAGATATATTAATCACTAGGTATTGTGCTCGTGTGTTGCTACGAGATAACTAACATTTTATACTAAAAACACACAGATCGCACGATAAGATAACAATACTGTAAAAATTAAATATCAACATTAAAGTGACATTTAATCCAAAAAGCAAAATTTATGAATTTAACACAGTCATGGAATGCGCAGCGTCACAGGCTCACAAATTCTACTTTATAGACCTTTCCGTGATGCGGCTAAGATAATGTTTTATATTTGTAGGAAAAAATCTCCGATATTCATTTATTTCATTGTAATCCATTTATCTATACAATGTTTGAGGTGAGGGCATGGTTATAGTTTTTAGTAGCTTTGCGATATTGTCCGAACCTATGAGATGATTGATGTCTTGCAATGATCCTTTCATTAATTTAGTTTTTTTATCTATGTTTAATTATTTATTCAGTCTATTTTATAGGCACACCGGTAGATAATGGATGACAAAATTCAAGCATCCATAATTTATCTCTTTGACTTTGAGCATGTGTTTTGTTTTTATCGTATTGTTAGCACGACATGCATGAAAAACGAAGATGTCTTTACACTGCAGAAATCTTTCAAAAAGATCATGCATAGATTATTCTTGTATTGAATATTATATATATACAATCACCTAAATATTCTAATTAAACTACAAAATTTTGAATTAGACTACAAACATGCAAATGATATTTCAAAATACGAGAGTCCAAGAACTTAATAAATAAATTCTTCTAAAGGCAATGCAAATTTTCTCTAATCTTTCACCTGTAGTTAGAGTCCAAAGAACTTAATAAATAAATTTTTTTTGCTTGACTCTCACTGCAGAGGGAGTGCAATAAACCGTTTGGCAAAATGGCTTCTAATCTTGTTTTTGGTTGTGGAGGAGGAGCAAGTTAGTTTTTTTTTGCTCATCCCACCCCAAATCATTGTGAGAGCCAGGGGCTGTATTCATGGGAAATAAATCATGGACAAAATATGAACACTTAGTTTTCATAGTACCCACATGTATTCATGGGAAATAAATCATGGACAAAACGTGAACACTTTTTTGTACGACATTCCAACATGGGTGTATCGTCCTGCCAATATCCTTGAGGCAGATCACATAAAGGATGAGAGTCCCTCTATGAGATTGCTCACAAGAGACTCAAACTTATATCTGATCATGGTAATGTTGAATTGCTTTACATCAAAAGCATCGGCAATGATAAACGGGGATATATGTTTTAGTATGCATAGTGGAGAAAAACTCAACCTTAACCTTCTCAGTAGCTTTTTTCGAGTTTTTACAATGCTAACTTGTCCTTACTCACATACTCAAAAGGTGCAAAGAGGTTTCTTTTGTCTTAATTCTCTTTCCTTCTGTGTTAATTCTCTTTCCTTTTGCTCGTTGACATGTATGTTGGTGTATGCAAACATACAATGTGTATATGAATAGCACGATAATTTTCTACTTCCTATTTTGTCGTGATTCCTCTATCACACGACATGTAATATTCAATCAAGGATAATGACACGATCAATCAGTAATTAATATTAACCTGTAATATGTGGAAGATGTCGTGGGATCGTAGGCGTGGACAAATGGACGAACCAAAATAAATATCGCACTAAAAAATATCTACACTTTTTCTTTTTAGTTGTAGAAGATATCAAATCATTTTTTTTTGGCGGCTTCGTCCCGGCCGGGTGGCTGGTATGGTACGCCAATCGCGATTTCGCGAAAGCGAGACAGGACAGCGGCGTTCGCGCACGAGACAAGGCGAGTGGGCTTGTGCCGATCGTCATCCCAACGAATCCGTGGGCTACTTGAAGAATCTTTAAAAGCCCGTCACGTTACGGCCCAACCCAAATGTGGGTCTAAGTTTTTTTTAAAAAAAGTAGATGTGATTTCAAGCTGCCACTACCTTTTCAAAATACACATTAACATTTTCAAACATAAACGCACACTCAACCTATAGATGCATGTTTACTATGGTAGTAAATTTTGAGATTATTATGGGTTCTCCAATGTAGAGTTTCCACAATGCTTAGCTTGAATTAACAAGGTGGTTGAGTTAGTCTAGTAGCATCTCCAAGAGACTCTGTGCTTGAATTTTATTTACAAATTTTAGAAAACAAATAAAAAATCAGGCTCCAATAGACTCTTTGCATCACTCTTCATCTTTTTCGCTCTCCAAAACCACCCTGTCGTTCTCCATTAATGGAGAAAGCTACATCTCTCTTTGAATATATGCTAGTTTTTTTCATAATTTTTTCACACAAGAAAATATATATGATAAACTATTGGAGTATGAAGAACAAAAATAAGAGAGTACGTAAGAGATAAGAGATATAAAGAGAATATTCATAGGCTGACTCGTCAAATAGAGATATACAGATTAAAATTTAAATAGACTCTTAAAACATCTCCAACAATCTTTCTTGAACCAACTAACTAAATCCTCATTTGGAGAGTCACTCTATCAAAAAATCACTAACTATATCTTTTAACACTACAATAACTTATATATATATCTTGTTTAGTACTTTTGAGAGTCAACTTCTCTCTATCTTTAGCGAGCGATTTTTTTAAAAAAAAGGATGATGAAAATATTTAGAGATCTAATAAAAAAAGATGTTGAGAGATTTCTTTTCACTAAGATCTCTATTGCTATCAATATTGGAGGATATAAAGATCTCTTTTAGTTGCTCTTAGAAGCACCCGTTAAAATTAGATACTCATCCCATGCTTAATTGATTTAATAACAACCTTCTCTCCCTTAAGCTTAAGCACCATGAATTTCACCTCCCTTAACTGCCGAAGCAAGCACCATCGTCTATACAACAAGTAACGCGAGCACTCATCCTGCGCGAGACGCGCACGATGCTCGTTCTTTTTTGCTCCGAAGGGAGATCACGTCAGCAAATAATTTCCAATCCCATTTCCCGTGAAAGGAAACTTTCAAGGCCGGCCGATTTGTCCAATCTAGGCAAAAGGGGGGAAAATCGCATGCAAACTGGATGCAGGGTGCAGCCGTACATACATGTCCTGGATTCTTTCCACGTGTCCACCCACGAAGATTCAACGGTGCATGCCCGAGAAAGTCCCCCGCACGTTCTCTGGTAGGTTCATACACACGCCGCGGCTTCGACGGGGATTGACTTAAGCATACACGTGGCAAACAACGATTGGATGTTCCAAACGTTGCAACGAATATTCGCATATTTGTACTCACTCCACTCGGACGCATCGATACTACTTTTCAGCTGGTTTTTTCAGTCAACAAATTAGCTGGAACAGTATTTTGGTTTATTTTTTCAACGAAACGAACGGCTCAGGTCGTTGTTCCGTACACGTGTCAGTTAACACAGCGCCCAGCACCCGCATATCTTCCTGTGCCCGGCGTTGCGACGTGTCGACGCTGGACGGCAGACCGCCGGCACAGGCACGGCCTGGAGGCAAATGGGCAGGGCTCCCTCTATGAAAGACGCCGAGTCCATCGATCACATTCATGCATGTTCTGTGCGTTCTCAATACAAGTCTGGTGGAATGTATCCTCAGCCATAGAAAAGCAGTTGCCATCAGCTCTGGGCTGCGGGCAAGTCCATCGTCGACTGGTGAAAGCGGTTCTGGGGACTCTGGACTGGAGCACAAAAGCGCGTGGCACTGACACTTTGTTCTCGCTAGTCTTGTGCCTAAACGTGACGAGCCTGTTCGTTTGTTTATTTCAGCTAGAGTTTATTAGTCAGTTAATAGTATTTTTCTCTCACAACAAACCAACATCAGTCAGATTTATTAGCCTAGAAATCAACCAGCAAACAGACCAAATGCCACTTGAACTTTTCAACCTAGTTTAACATTCAATGTTTTTTTTCTCTAACAGTAGAATAACATCAGTCAGCTTATCAGCCTAGCCCGCTCATTGTGTGGCATGGGATGCCCACCTGCACGTTCCTTTGGAACCCAGGCCAGCAGGCCTGCACGAGAATTTTTTCCCAATCCGTGAATCCCTGTCCCAAAGGGGGCTCTCGGCCCCATCGACGTCGGCCACCTCCGCAGAAAGACGACGCCTCGCTTTCGCTTTTCTAGTACGGTCCGCTCTTTATTACACGACGGGAAACCGCGGCCCGCCCCACTCGGCTGACCCGGGCCGTCCCATCCCCGCCCGACGGCAGGCGCGCTCGCACGCGGAAGCCGCCAACACACGCAACCCGGCGGCGCTTTCACCCCCCACCGGGCCCGGCGCCAGCGTCGGCGTCTGGGATACTGGGAGTCTGGGATCCATCCAGTACCCCAGCCGGGCCCCGCCGCGTGCCCGCGCGCGCGTCAGAGTCGCACCAACCTCCGCCGCCGTGGCGCCTGGCAAAGGCCGGAGGAGCCTCCACCCGAAATTCCCGTCCCCTCCACCATCTCGATGCTTTTCCACCCTCCTCCTCCTCTGCTGCTGTTGGTAGGAGTACTGTAAAACCCCCTTCGCCGCATCCTCGAGGCCCAAATTCTTGCCTACTGCTGTTCCTGTTCGGTAGGAGCACTTGTCAATTACTGTGAAAATCCCCTTCGCCGCCTCTCGAGACCCAATTCTTGTTGCCTGAAACCCGCAGTGATCCGCCCAACTCCCAACCCACCGGAGATTGGAGCGCGCAGCATGGTCGATCGCCGCGGCAGCTGAGCTGCGGCGGGAGTGATCGGCGGGGGCGAGAGGACGGTGGGTCGAGGGTAGGAGGTGATGGCCGGGCTGCTGGGGAGGCCTGGTTCTTGGGGCGGCCTGGTGCTGCGGGTGGGGCAGACGTTCTTCGCCGCCGCCTGCATCGGCCTCATGGGCAGCTCGCTCGGATTCTCCGGCTACACCGCCTTCTGGTAAGCTACATGAAAACCACAAACCGCGTCCCGGTTGACCTTGTCTTTTGGGGGTTTCTTCTTCTAGCCTACCGTTGTCTCTGTTGGTTGGGGTTTCTCGTGAATCTATCCATTTGGCGGGGAGCATCCCTAAATCCCCATTTTGCCTCGGATCATTCTCTGACGACTCATCAATCCTCGTTATTTTTTTCTGGATCAATTCAGTCGTAATTGGGTTCATTTATGGGGGGATTGTGGAGTGAGGGAGGGACGACTAACAAACTGCTTGTTAATTTCTAGGTTGCGTTTTGTCAAGTGCATTTAGTTCGGAGGGTTAGTTGCAGCATCCGAGACAAAAATTCTGAGAAGTATATGATTGCCGTCCAATTGTACAGATAGTCCGAAAAGCATATTAGCATGGTGACACTGGAGGCGTATTCAAAGAATCCATTTTGTTCGATATGGTGGTGGTAGCTTGAAACACGTGGTGCATTTGTAGTCATTCCAGTATCTAATGGATCCTTGTTGCTGTGATTGCTTATCTGCTGATGTTTAGTAAGCTGTTAACTCAGATTGGTACAGCTCGTAAACTTTCTCCTTTCAAATTTGCAAAAACCTCATATTGTCTTTCACATTTCAGCTACTTGATTGCATCAATGGGACTTCAAATGCTGTGGAGTTTTGGACTTGCGTGTCTTGATGGATATGCCATTACAGCCAACAAGGATCTCACCAGCCCCATTCTATTGAGCTTGTTTGTCGTTGGAGACTGGGTAATGACTAAACTCATTTTGGAACTCTTGTCTTGTCATCTAATGTGCTTTTACCTATATGCTTTGATAAACCCTTAACATCCAGTATATTGGTATACTACTTTATAGAAGCACTGAAGTTGTCCATATGAATATTCCAAACTGATTGCTATTTTTGCAGTTCTTTTCTATATCTCTGGAAATGTGGATCTTTATCCATAAATTTTGTTATGCTGCTCCTCTAGAAGTTTTTGTTTTGTTTTAAATGTTTTAGGATTCTCGATGTAAAAGCTCGTGAACTATTTGGCTATCAATTTATTTGTGAATAGGAACACGAATATTTGTAGATTTGTTCAAAATGCTGAAGTTCCATTTATATCAGAATAGATTTTGGTCATCAAAGTTGTGTTTTATAGAGTATCAATTTGCAAACTATTACTTGTTTGCGATGGAGAGAGTAATAATAATATCTAATTTTCAACATAAGTGCTCTGCACATTCTGTGATACTTAAATGATCCAGTACTTTCTGTTTTTCCCCTTTAAGAAGAGTTGATAGTTTCACATTTGTACAATTCATGTTAGTTTTAAATTGGCAAAGTTTGGTTTTCTGTACATGATGTTCATTATTCATGCTCTCCCTATTTGATGGATGATGCATTGTGATGCCAGCTTGGGGTCATACTAAGAGGAAAGATCAGATCTGTGTATTACATGCAGTCTGGTGTGGATTTGTTATTTATCAAATTGTACGAGTCTAGCCTTGTATTCATTTGGGCGACGCTCATCTAATCACGTCAATGCTTTCAGCAGCACTAATGAAAACCAATCTACTGAGTGTAGGTAACAGCAATTCTGTCATTCGCCGCAGCAAGCTCATCTGCTGGTGTAGTAATTCTATTTCAAAAGGACGTGTTCTTCTGCAGAAGGTATACCCAACTCCCTTGTGGAAAATATGAGCTCGCCACAGCGTTTGCCTTCGTGTCTTGGGCATTCAGTGCTACATCAGCCTTGATCATGTTTTGGCTCCTGGCTGCGTCCTGACTTGGGGTAAAATTTGGTGGCAGCGATGTTTATAGTGCCTACTTTGCTGTTCTCTCCTCGTAGCTTTTACAACCACGTCACATATTTAGCAGACCACGTAGCCCAAAAATTGGAAATGTTGGGATCATGGAAAGTCCTTGGAGGGAACAGTTACTAATGGAAAAAATTCACTGAACAGATACTTTTGCTTCATATCTGCTGAGTTAATTGCCTTTCGCTATCTTTGATGCAAGGTGACCTCGCACACTGCAATCAAGCGTTCTATGTAAACAATCTGAAACAAGACCTTGGATTTTTAGTTTCTGACAGAGATGGCATTTATCTTGTGTGATGCATTTTTTACTCGAGCTCAACTATGTAATGGTTACATGCTGTCGACAAAACGAAACAAGTTGGCCAATTTCACATCAAGGCAGTTGTTTTAGAATTTCTGTGAAAGAAACGTCATGAGTTCTGCACAAATAGACTAATTAGCAACACATCTGAATGATGTGTCTGCATCCCTGACGCGTTTACAAGATGGCGGGTTTCTTGCCGGATACAAAAGAGAAGACAGCATCGAAGTAATGTAGAGCAGTTTGCAACCTTGAGCTTGAGCAGAACAGGAATGACAACCACAGTAGCTTAGCATCTAGGAGCAGCCACAGTAGCTTAGCATCTAGGAGAACGGCGCATAATCCATCACGCACAGCTCCACAGGTCCAAAACATTCGTGGAGAAGCATATAATTGTTGGGTTCCAGATAGGACCAGGACTCCGGACAAGCCTTTTTTTATTGATGGCCAAACATCAAGTCACTTAGGTTTGACTAGGTCAGGTTAGCATCTGGTTTCATGTCTTAATCCATCGTGCCAAACTTTTCACAGGTCTGTTTAATTCATTCCATTTTGCAAATTTTTAATTTTCCGTTTGGGTTCCAGATAGGACCAAATACTAAAAAATAAAACAATTACTTTTTTTATTGAAAATTCAACATCAAGTCACTTATTAAAATATGACTAGACAGGTTAGCATCTGGTTTCATGTCTTAACTTAGGCGTGCCAAACTTTTCGCCTAGGTATGGATTGATCCCACAAGCCATGTGTGCCCATAGTGTCTTGGCAAGACATCCTTGCAAGCCAAGTTGTGGCTATCTTTTTCTCTCTGCCACAAGTTAGACGATTTAGGCAAGAAAAAGTGTGGCAAAAGTTAGGCGCCAAGTGTGACAACCCTTGGCAATCTTAGGAATGAAGCAAACGTGTTCACCTCTCTCCTTTCTTTCTTTCTTTTTTGCGAGGAACAAACGTGTTCACCTTGCAATCATGAATTGTCAAAAATATCGACATTGTACTGCACCAATGAATTTTACTCTTACCAAACTTTCGTGGGACAAAGGTTGAAAGCTTTTGCTAAACAAATGGCAATAAAGAAAAGCAAAAAGACTCTAATCCTTCTTCCAAAATTTGGATATCGGCAAGTGAACTGGCACAAGAATGATACAATGTAAATTGCATTTGTGCAGTCTCGCTCGTTCGAAACTTCAGGAATACAAGTCAAGGACAAACATCCTACTACACTGATTCAAAATCTTTTTTTTATCAAACTTCCATCTAGTAGAAAAACCCTAGCACCTTGCCACCAACGTTCTTCCTCCTGGCCTCTTCATGATCCATGATGCCAGCAGAGGTCGTCAAAACAATAAAACCGAACTGCACAACAAACAGTGAAAGATAATTAGATTAATTATTATTATAATATAAAATTGAACTGCGCGTACAGATACCCAGCGTCACATCTATAGTTAGAAACAAGCACGTATGGGAAGGAACGGACCTGACGAGATGGAAGGAGCCTTGCAGTCCACCCTTCAATTTCCTTGACACCAACATCAAAACGAGGACTGATTACTCCGCACTTGTTCAGCCTGCCGTTCAACTCGACAACAATCTTTCCAGCACGATGGTCATCAACATACTCAAACTCACCGATATACCCTGCAGAAAAGGACAGCAGTCATGAACCATTTCCTAGCTTTCAACAAGTTTCAAACAAAATGTAAATAAAGAGAACTAACCATGCTTCTGCATCACCAAAAGGAACTTTATGATCACTTTTGAAGATGGCCTGATCATCACTTGCCTCTTCCCACGCTTCTCAGCATTATACATGCTCTTGAGAGCATCGTTCAAGACGCTAACTCTCACCATCCTTGGCGAACCTGCAGAGATGTGCACCAGCAGACTTGTGAAGAGAATGAAAATATTCAACATTTAACTTTGAGCTATTCAATGGCAAGTATGTAGTTTAACTATGGTGTAGGAGCATCTTGTAGACCAGATTCTTTTTATCATCTTTGGGTTTGATGCAAGAAATCTCTCCCAAATGGGAAGCAGTTTCCCATGGTTGGACTGGCTGCTATTTACTGGGCTTATGATGGGCAATAAATAATATGTTTATTTTGTTTTCAAAAGAAGTTGGTTAGATCTTCTGCTGAGATAATGTGTTTGCTTGCTTGTTTATTTCTTCTTATTGGGCAGGACTCCAGAAATGCACTGGAAGAAGCAGATATTTGGTAGAAAGCAGTGCTACGCTTCCACACTCGAGCAGCATGATGAAGGCAGCAGGATGGAGATAACTTAAGATGTAGCAGTCTCATTGCGATGATGGAGGTAGCGAGAAGATGCTAGTGGGCACTAAGAAGTCCAAAATGTTGCTGTTTTTGCATCTAGGTGGTGGAGTGGACCATGGGCCTATTCTATGTCTTATTGTCTGTTGTTTAGTGGCTGTAAGAATAGAAGGTTGCTAATAGTTAATATCGGTTTGGTTATGTGTCTGGGTTAGCCGATTAGAACTCTTTGTGTTGCTTGTTGTAGCAAGACTGTTCAAAACTCAAAGTACCCAAACCATGTAATTTCATTGCTTATGGCAATAAAATTGGACATCACCAGTTGTGGAAAAAACAGATTTGTAAGGCTGCCATGTGTTACAAAGCCCAAAGGATTACACTGGCTGCTTTGGAATAAAATAATAATTGAGTATATATAAGAAACAGCAACTAGTAAGCCATCAAATAGAGGTCTACTAACACGATAAGAATAACAGATAACATTTCACAAAGGTAAAAACAAAAGATACTTTGTGGCAGATGGAAGGGGTGAAAAGAAAACCCAGCATGCAAATTAAATGGCAAATCGAATAACACTGACCCACAGGCCACAAGTCTTGCAATCATAATGTTTCGGTAGTCCACAAACTGATTATGCACTGGATGTGCAAATTAGGTAAGAGACAATACAACTTTTATTGGTTGCATAATGTGTGAAACAACACACTGACACTGTCATCAACTCATCGTTTCTTTTTGCCAAGGACAACAGTAATCGCTAGCATAGGATGTTGCAATGAGTATGCTGGAGACTAGATAACCTTGTTCCCCCTATGTGGAACACACTCATAACACATGGCTTTCTATAGTGACAATAGAAGTATAGCTTGCTTTGCCAGTGAATAGTTGCACCTAGACTATGCAATGCGAGAACTATTATATCTGCAAAAATAGCTATCGAAAGACATGGTCCTAACCACAGCCAGAATTGAAAGGCATCCACAAGGAATTGACATCCAAACTAAACATTTGGCTTCCTCACGTCCACCAGACCAGGGACTTGACACAATCATATTGTCTGTGCTAAGGATAATTATCTAGACAGGTTAACTAGTGTCTCACTGCTGGAGGGGAATTATTAAACACCCCCATCCTCCTTCCTCCATATTACTATAAGCAAGCTACTTTTTACTACACAAGCAAAAACAAGAAAAGCATATCCAATTTGCAGTGACACAACTAAGTACCTAATAAAGAACAGAACGCAAAACAAAATACCTGGACCACGTGGATCATATTCCGGAATGGAAGGGTGGACTTTTGAACTTGGCTGGGAAAGCCATGTTGACCCAGGCCACGCTGTTGGCCATTCCAGGACATGTCCCCGTTGCAGTCTGTCTTTCTGCTTGGGCAATTGAAGCTATTGATGGCCGTCGGAGAGATTTTCTGTGGGCTGGTGCTGAATCAGTGCCGGGTGGCAAGTGCAAGGTAATGCAGGAGGTCGTTTGCAGGCCTAAAGAACTTGAAGGGTTAGGGATCATCGATTTGCATCGCTTTGGTATGGCTCTCCGCCTGTGCTGGGAGTGGCATCAGTGGTCTGATCCACCAAGATGCTGGGTTGGTCTTTGGAACAAACCAGAGAAAGTGGTCCAAGCCTTGTTCTTTGCTGCAATGGAGGTCCAAGTGGGTGATGGTGCTGCCCCTTCCTTTTGATTGGATAAGTGGCTTGACGGGAAGTGTTCTTCTTGGTTTCTGCTTGACATTGGCGTCGTTCGGTCAGGGATGCGCTCGCCGACTGTGCATGGGTAAAGGTGTTATGGTCGGCAGAGTCTATAGACGCCGTAGTGGCTAGGCTCAACCGTGTGACAAGCTGGGCGTGGTCACCAGGGGAGTTTGGGTTAGTTTGGATTCAGAGTCATTAGAGTTTGGTTAGTTGAGATTACAGAGTCCTAAAAGATAGGGATAGTTGGTTAAGTTGAGTCCTATATGCATCAAACTCTATGGATCAATAAAGGTTAGCCAAGGATTGAGATTATATCTCCCATTGGCCCCCCCGGGCAACCACGTCCCCTTCCTCTCTCGCTGCGAAACCTCTCGAGCGACGGCGCGCCGGCGCACGCACGCGCGCTCGCCGCCCCCTCGCTTCAAGCCTCGTCCCGCCCA